CGTCAGCCTTCCTGCTCCTATGATGCTGCTTGGCCTGCTGTGTTCATTCAGCTCTCGACCTTGTTATCCGAGCTTTTGATAAAGCTGATGTTATACTGAGAAGTGGCTTGTTAACATTACAACAGTTGTTTTTCTCTATGTGAGCTATCAGACATGAATTATACTGCTCAGAAATAAAGGCCTTCAGCTTTGCTGTCATTTGTGATTAGTTGTGGTCAGGGTTAGAACAGAAAATTGACATTTCCTGGACCAAATGCACTCACACAATGAAATCAAACTTCCTGGAAATCTGTTCACTGTGGTGGGCTTTGCAAAGAATTCAATGATCTCTAAAAGACAGTAAGTGTATGAAATATTTTTTGAAGTTTATATTATTGTCTATATAAAAAAAATCAAGTGTTTATCTTTTTGCACGTGGGATTGTTGGTGTACTGGGAGTTGGTAGGAAATTCATTTTCTCCTCTGTCTTTTGCTTCTAAAAGTGAAACATTGGCTTTATATACTGCTTTTTCCTTTTTCAGAGTCTTTGCTGTAAAACAAACCACGATTTCCCTTTTTGTTCATTTCCTGCCAAAGTCATGAGTTAAATTTAAAGTCATGTTTGCTCACACTTTCTGTGCCTCTCTCTTTGTCTCTCAGCCATGCATCTTCTCTTCTTTATCTCTCAAGATCTCAGCTTTTGTTGTATCCCTCTCTCAGTTACACAATCTATTCTTTGTCTCTGTAGATTCCCATTTTTTGCTTTCTCGATTCTCACCTCTTTGTCCTCCTTGTGGCCTTATCTCCATATCATATATCCTTTTGTTTGAATTTTCTCTCTTTCCATAGTCTTTCCGTTCCCTTCTCTCTTTCTCTTGCTCTACCTCTCCGTCAAATTCACTCTTTCTCATCCATTCCCCCATTTCAGGCTCTTAATTTACCTAACGTAGGCAATCAAATATTCATTATTAAGATGAATCTCCTTGACAACGACGTGAAATCCTGGTCAATCGTTACTCTCAACTCAAAGCATCTTTACAGCGCAATGCAAGTCATTGTCATTCTCTCTGAGGAAGATCAGAGGAACAGATGGATCTTGGGTGCTTGTCCACAAATCCTTGAAGGTGGCAGGACAGGTTAATAAGATAGTTAAGAAGACATATGAATGCTGGCCTCTGTCAGTTGAGGCATAGATTGTAAGAGCAGGGAAATTATTTTGGAGCTTTATAGAACATTGGTTAGGCCACAGCTGGACTACTGAATGCAGTTCTGGTCACCGCACGATAGGACTGATGTGATTGCATGCGGGGTTGGGGGACGGACAGGTGCAAAGTAGTTTCAACGGGATGTTGTCTGGGATTCAGTATTTCAGCGACGAAGAGAGGGTGGATAAGCTCGGTTGTTTTGGGATTTGATCGAGGTGTATAAGATTATGAGAGTGATAGAAAGCAGCTGTTCCCTTTATTTGAAAGGTCAGTAACAAGGGGCATAATTTTAAAATGAAAGGCAGGACGTTTACAAGGGATTGGAAGAAGCCTTTTCTTTCCCTCAGGGACCGGTTTGGGTTCTGTAATGCCCTGCCTGGATGGATAGTTGGGGTGGGAAACGACACAACCTTTAAAAAGTACTTGAAAGGGTACTTGAAATGTCATTACATCCAAGGCTGTGCCCTCAGCCTGGGAAAGTGAGATCAATGTAGATCTATCTGCCTCAACTTGATGGACCAAAGATGCTCTTTTGCACTGTATGACTCCACAACTCTACTCTCTCACAAATGAAATAAGAGAGGAGTGACATTGGATCTTTGAGAAGGTCAACAAGCTCCCTCAGGAGAAAAGCGACAGAAACGTGGTAATTGCCATTTCCAGACAGGAATTATTGACACACAGACTGCAAAGCATCAGTTAAGCACTGCTCCATCCAATCAAAATAGATACATCAAACTTGTAGCTCCTTGTAGTGTCTTCACAGTGTAAAGAGAAATGGCATTGATGGCTTGGTTACTTTACCAATTGTGACTGATATATTTAATGCTGCTGGGATAGATTTTCCTTCGTACTTGCTTAGCTGTGCAAGAACCTTATCAACTCTTCCAAAAGTGTGTGGACTAATTGCAACAAATTGCATAAAGCGGGCTATTTTTCAAATTAAATTTCCCCATTTTTGCTGAAGTTCTGCAGGTTAAAACAAACCAGTGTATCGTCCAGGAATTAACACTTCTACACACAAATGGTGGTAGATGCTTGGAATTCTCTTCCATAAAAGGTGGTGAATGCTGGATCAGCTGTTAATTTTAAATCTGAGCAGATAAATTTTAGCTAAGCAAAGGTATTAAGGACTTTGGTCCAAAGACAGGTGTATGGAGATAGATTGAGTTTTAAGTGCCCTTTGGAAATTTTGGGATGGGCGATAAATCCTGGCCTGGCCATCGATGCCCACATATAGTGAATGAACATGAAAAAGATTACAGATCAACATTGATCGCATTGAATAGAAGGAAATGCTCGAGGAGCTGAATGACCTCCTTCTGTTCCTATGATTTACTGCCAAGCCATAATTTTTTAGAGCAAGATTTTTGTGCGTCTGAAGCTACATGCAATCACATTAAATTTCCACTGACAATGGACATTAGTTGCATTAGACTTTTGGTTCCAGATGTCCAAAATTGAATTTCAATTCCACAATCTGCCAAAACAGGATTCAAACCCAGGTCCCTAGATTAATAATCTAACAAAAGTACCATTAAGCCATCAAATGCCCTGCTTCAAGCTTGCTTAGATTTAATGTGACTGCCTTGCAGAAAATCTCACCAAAATAGGGTTGAAACATTCACCCACACATCTCATTCTCAACAGCTTTTTTTTTTTTTGCGGTGCAAAGGGCTCCATATTTCCATTAATTTTTGTGTGAAGAAATTACCTGAAACAATTTATGTCTATTTTTATGCCTCAGAATCTGATTTTCCACACTGGAGTGAGCAGTACACATATCAACTCATTTGACCATCCTCAACTCTTCACTTATGTCACAGCTTATTCATTTTATGTTCAAAGAAATTTCACAATTTGAACCATGTTTATTGTTCTAGTATATTGGTGCTGCATCCAATCCAAACTTAATATCTGTTTTGTTGTCTCTTCTTGTGAAGGTGAGAAGTTACACATCGTGTATATTGGGAAGCATTGAGCCAATGTCTGGAATATTGCGTATAGAATTGGTCTGAAAACAGAAAAAAAAATGCTGCAAATCACAATGGGCCAGGCAACATCCATAGAGAGAGGTAACTTTTGGACTCTAGACGACCCTTCATCAGAGCTGATGTGAAGTGTGGTGGGGCAGCATTTATGCAATGGTGGGGGTTGGATGTGGAGTGCTGGGGATGAAAGGGTGTTAATAGAGCAGATTAAGTGACGGTAATGTGAGAATGGCAGAACAATGGTGTGTCTACCTGACAGATAGGAAAGAACAGCAGTCCCACTGGAGTTGGGGGGGTGAGGACTGTATGGGGGAAGCGGATATGGTGACAGAGAATTTAACAAATAACGCTAAAAGGGATGGAACGGGGGTGGGTTCACAAGAAATGCAGCTTCACCTGAAAAGACTATTTAGACCCTTGGATGGCGAGCAGGGAGGAGATGAAGGGCAAGTGTTGAACCTTCTGTGGTTACATGGGAAGGTGCTGTCAGAGGAGGGTGGTGTTGGTGTTCGAGGATGGAACTCGGGTGCCCCAAAGGAAATGATCTCTACAAAATGCAGATGGGGGAAGAGAGGAGAAGATGTGTTTGGTGATGGCATTCTTTTTTGAAAGAGGAGTCTGGTGCGATGAAAAGTGAGGACAAGGGGGAACCAATCATGCTGTTGTGAATGATGGTGAGGGGCAAGGGCAGATCCACGGGTGACAGGCTTGAGGCAGATTAAAGAACATAAGAACATAAGAACATAAGAAATAGGAGCAGGAGGAGGCCATCTGGCCCTTCGAGCCTGCTCCGCCATTCAATAAGATCATGGCTGATCCTTTCGTGGACTCAGATCCACTTACCCGCGTTCTCACCGTGTCCCTTAATTCCTTTATTGCTCAAAAAAAACTACCTTTTTTTTAAAAACATTTACTGAAGTAGCGTCAACTACTTCACTGGGCAAGGAATTCCATAAATGTTCCGTGTTTGAGTGTTCCTTTGCCTATATTGCACCCACATGTTTCAACCATATTTGATACTTAGGTAGAATTTTATACACTGGCAACCTAAATTGAACATCTTCTCTTGCAATTCCCCAGTGGACAATTGTCAAAAATGTGTTTGCCCTTCTTCCACCAGTCCATTAAATTTTCAGGTTTTATATACTTGGGCCATTCAATTTCTGTATTCGTATCTGACTCTGGCCCTTCACTGTTTAAAACAAAAACTAGCTGAGTCTATTATTTCACCATCCATACTGTCTAATTTGGAATTACCAAATCTTGAATTACATTTGTTACAGTCTTGTCCACTCACTGAATCATAGAATGCCTGCAGTACAGAATGACTTCATTCAACTCATCAGGTCTTCTCCGAACCTCCGAAGAGCATCCCTGAGTCCATTTCTTAACTTTACTTCACCCTCCTTGATATTGGTTAGCTTTTATCGAAGGCCTTTTGACAGTACAGATGAACTACGTTTGAGTATTTGCCACCACGCTGCTATTTTCTCAAATAATCCACAGGTTTGTTCAAGCAAAATTTCTCCTTAAGCAATTGAGAAATTGAATGCAATGTAGTACTTGATCAGACAGGATTGTTAAGGTAAACAGAGAAAATATTCACAGAAAGGACATTGTCATTGCAGTCTGGGCATTACAGGCATTTACTACCTATTCCTAGTTCCTCTTGAGAAAGTAGTGATGAGCTTCCATCGTGAACTGTTGCAGTCCTTGTGTTGTAGGTTGACCCACAATGCCCTTAGAGAGGCAATTCCAGGATTTTGACCAAGCAACAGTGAAGTAACAATGATATATATTTCCAAATCAGGATGGTTAATGGCTTGGGGTGGAACTTATAGGTGGTGAAGTTCCCATGTATTCGCTGCCCTTGTCCTTCTAGATGGATATGTTCATGTGTTTGGAACTTGTCGTCTCAGAACATCAGAACGTTAGGAAAAGGAGCAGCATTAGGCCATCTGGGTCATTGATCCTGCTTCATTATTCAAAAAGAACATGCTGATCTTGTTGTGGACTCAGCTCCACTTATCCATCTGCTCACCAAACCCTTAAATCCTTTACTGTTTAAAAATCTATCTATCCTTGCCTTAAAAATCATTCAACGAGATAGCTTCAACTGTTTCACTGAGCATGAAATTCCACAGATTTATAATCCTTTGGGTGAAGAGACCTTTGATGATTTTTTGCAGGGCATCTTGTACATGGTATACCCTACAGCTATTGAGCGTTGGTGATGGAGGGAAATTTTGTGCTGACAGGTGCATTGTCGTCCTCTGATTATTGATCGTCTAGTTATAGTTAATTGGCAGAAACATTCGAAGTTTTTATTATTGTGTGCTCATGGTGTAAAAATGAGCATGAGAAAACACTGGACTGGCTGGCAAATTGTTCCTGGTTTAGATAACTGTGGCAGGTGATATATGTAGAAGATGTTTCAAAGATTGCGAGCACAGAATTTAAGAACGTAAGAACTCGGAACAGCAGTCGGCAATTCAGCCTGAATTACCAGCATAATAATTACTTTGCGATTCATGCAGGAGGATATCCACATCCCTCTGCATCGCAGCACAGTGAAGTTTCCCTCTATTTAGATAATAAGTTGAATTTCTATTCCTCTGACCAAAATGGATAACCTCACACATCTGCATTAAACTTCATCAGACAAATTTGGATCTATTCACTTCACCTATCCATATCCATTTGTAAATTTCTTAATTCTTCATTGCAATTTATGTTCCCACTTATTTCAGTCTTTGGCAAATTTGGCTATACGATTTTCTATTCCTGCATCCAAGTCATTGAAATAGATTGTACATATTTAGGGCCAAGGGAAAGGATTCTGTGCACCAAATTAGTAAAGCTGCGCCAAGTAGAAAATGAGTCGTTTATTTGGATTCTGATGTCTGTTATTTAGGTAATGTATTGATTCCTCACCCAATGTGAGCTTAACGTGTGCCTTCTTATGAACACTGAATTCAGGAAAACGTTCTCTCTCAGACTTCTGAACGAACTTTGCACATTTCAAATTTAATGTTGATGTTGGTTTTTGAACACCTTCTTTACAGCTGTAATTTTGTACTCCTCGCTCAAATCATTCAGCATATCATCTTTCTGCCTTTGTATGTCACAATGTCTGATTCCACGTGAAAAAAAATTACAGCACTTAGATGCATGTGACAATAATAACTCAAAACAAATCAAAAACACCCTGACCTTAATTCAGAACAAGGGACTCATGTTGATAGATTATCCTCTTTATTGGTTGCAGCATTGGTTTAAAACCGCTACTGTCTAACATATGAAACCAAAGCAGAAAAAATTGGAGAAACTCAGCAGACCTGGCAGCATCTGTGGACAGAAAGCGGAATAAGTGTTTTTCGTCCAGTGACCCTTCTTCAGAGCTCTGCACTCTGGCCACTGGGCTTGAAACATTCATTTTCCTTACTCTCCACAGATAGTGTCAAACCTGTTGAGTTTCTCCAGCAATTTCTGTTCTTGTTTCAGATCGTCAACAGCCACAGATATTTGTTTTATTTACTCTCTAATATCTCCCACTTATAACGAAATTCCAGGTCTTAAGTCTGTTTCCTTTTCTGACCATTTGAGTATCATCAGCATTCTTTTATATTTATCTGATTTAGAGCAAAGGCACTTTTATGTTTAGAGTTCAATCTTTAACGCTGGCGTAAATTGAAGGCTTTACTCAGTTGGCTGGATGGCTGGATTGTAACAAACTGAGAACAAGAATAGGTTTCAATTGTCACTCCAGCTAAGGTTACTGTGAAAGATTCTCCTTCTGAACATCTTGTTATGGACCTGACCAAATTCCCTCAAAATATTCAGAAGATAGTCTGGACTGAAACATTTTTTGTCTTATTTTTAAGGGTAAATGAAAGGTGTTGCATTCCAGACTCAACTGGATTGGTCAAACTCCCGGATTTAAAGCAAAACACACTTTATTCATTCACTGTATTGAAAATACAACAAAAGAAAGATGGAATTGGAATAACTTAGCTCTAATGGAAAACTTAGAATAGATACAGTAGCTATAATTAATTAACTGTTCCAATAGAGTAACATCCCATAAACACACCCTTGGCTAAAGGCAAATTCACAAAATAGATGCTCTCACATGCAAGTTCAGGATCAGGTAGAGAACTCCTAGGTTTTAGCTGTACCCATGAGAGGTAAAAATAGCTAGCACTTCTTCAAAATGCCAACAGCAACGGCTGAAAATAAAAACTAAATATCCTGGTTCCGTGTGAGTTTGACTACACCCTTACAGGCTGCTTCTATTTTTCCAACTTGGAAAAAAAACTCCAAGGCCTCACAAACTGTTTACTTTTTTGCCTCTGAGTAGACTGCTCGTACCTCTGCGTGAAAACCTCTCTTAAAAAGAAACAGGAAAAAATAAACCTCTTAAAGCCACAGTGTCATCATACACTCGCCTTGCTTGAGTGCTCCACAGGTTAAACCACCATTAGCCCTATTTGATACGTCTGTGGCCGCACTCTTCATTCCAAGTCTTAGAAAATTTTTACAAAAATAAAACCCCTAACTTTATTTAATAGTTTCTTTATCTCTACCTATACATTTCTTCCTTACTTTCTTTTAATTTTTAAGCTGGGGGTCGGATAGTTTTTGCATCACTCTTCATTTCAAAGTATTCCATTGCTACTTGGTAAAACAAACAAGGGCAAGACTTATTCAATTAGGGCTATCGGTAGTGTTGTTGAACAGAGAAACCAGGGTTCAGGTACATAATTGTTTGAAATTTGCAACACATCAGCAAGATGGTTAAGAAAACGTTTAGCACACTTGCCTTCATTAATCAGACTGTTGAGTATAGAAGTCGAGACGTCACGTTAAGGTTTCACAGGACGTTGGTGAGGCTTCCTCTGGAGAACTATTGGCAGAATATTATTACATTGGAGAGGGTTCAGACAAGATTTACCAGGATATTGCCGGGAATGGAGAGTTTGAGCTATAAAGATAGGTTGGATAGGCTGGGACTTGTATTCACTGGTGCTCAGAAGGTGAGGAGTGACCTTAAAGAAGTTTGAAAATCATGAGTGGCACAGATA